TTGTGTATGTATGCATATGTGTATATCGCTAAGTGGGTGTAATTAATAATATTCACTCCTTACATGCTAGTTATTATGCAAGATTCTACAGACTCTTCTTTGCTCATTTGGATGGCAAAACAACTCCTGTAAGTTTTTTTTTTTTCCTTTTAGCTGAGAGAACTAAGCTAAGGAAGATAAGGTGTGGTTATTTTAGATAACTTCCTCAAGGCTATGCAACCAATTGGCAGACCTGAGAACTGTGCTTACATTTAGGTGACTTCAAAACCAGTGCTTTTTCTAATACCCTAAACTGTCTTCTCAATTAAGTAAAAGTTATATGAAATAAAATGCACATAGTATCAAAATATTTGCAAACATGTATTTCCCAATATCTTATATATCTACATACTTATCAAAAAGGAGCTATTCATCTTTGACCTTGCTAGCTTCTCTTTAAGGGTTCATTAGGTTAGACATTTTTAAAGGTATCAATATGCGAAAATAAAATCAATCACAAATTCATCTTAAGAATAAAGAACAAATTACACCCAAGCAAGCAAAACAACAGAAAACAAAAAGGAAGTGTTTGTGAGTGAGAAATGAATGAATGAAACAATGAAGGCATTGTTTTTCTGTTAAATTTTATTATGAATGAGAAAGCAAATTTAAAAAATGGTATATGAGTTGATGGTCAAAATATTGATGAACCTACCCAAAAAGAAATGCATAATCATTTCACACACTAATTGGTCAACTGTGCACTTGTGTAACAGTAAATTCTATTTATAAATAGCAAGAGCACCACACTCTTACTTAATATTCTTATGGGTATAAGCTAAAGAGAATAAATCTTTCATTTACAGCTTATGGGATCAAATTAAAATTATACTTTGTGTTTTTGACTCAGAGTTGTAACTACCTAAGAGCTGTTTGATAATCTAAATGAAACATACATTAAGGTCAATTTTCTAGTCTGTCTGTGCTTGTGCATATGTGTTTTAAGCTTTAAGTGTAGCCAGTAGTACGCTTGCTTAGTGTAGAAGAACTGGTATAATTCAGACCTATGGGATTTGACTTGCATAATGAAGCAACATAGCAGAAAAACTCCAGCCAGCCTTCTAAATAAATAGAGAAAAGTCACAGGGCTACAAGTTGTTGTTGCTAATATACACAACACTGATTTACAAAAGAAAGGGGATTAATTGCTTCAATGACATTGATTCTAATGATAGCTTCAAAGAGAAATGATGAAAACATTGTAGTATGTCCTTATCGTGTAATCACTCCCAGTCAGACAGCCCTAATTCATATTGAATAGAGTCACTGACATCATGCATTTGGATTTTATACTCCTGGTGTAGGGCAAAGAATGGTTTTATTAAAACTATGATAAATGTCAAAGATTTACAGGAAGGTCTAAGAAATAAAAAAATGTGGGGAAAGCACAAATTTGAACATCACAATTAAGAAATAATAATTGGTAACTGGTTGTAATTTAAAATTTTTTGAACTTTAAAAAGAAGTGGAAGAAAAGGTTGCTTCACAGGGAAACATGTTGATAATATTTGCCCAGTCTTTGTTCAATTTTAACTATGAAAATTCAGTGGTTAATAATAATTTTAATAATAATAATACTTTAATAATAGTTTTAATAATAGCAATGATAACAGTAATATAAGAAATGATCATAACTAAAATGTATCAAGTGCTTCCTATGGTCTACCCTTTGTGTGTCATAATTTTTCCACCAAACCGTGTGAAATAGATACTGTTGTTACACCATTTTAAGGAAATTTTTAGTGGCAAATCACAAGCAATGTCTACTCCTAAAGAATTAGCCATGTGTGTGCCTAGATCAGGGATCGGCAAACTTTTGAGATGGAAGAACCAACCCTGTCCCTCACAACAATTTAAAAATCATTCGCCAGCCATAAAACAAATGAAATCACGATTATGTGAATAATATCCTTTAAAAATTTTATAAATGAAAATATGATAGTTTTATTTTCATTTTCAATTTTACCTCAGAGCCACATGTACATGCCCAAAGAGCCTCATGTGGCTCACGGGTCACAGTTTGTCGACCCCTGGCCTAGATGGACAGAAACAGGGTCTGAAAAGAATAGGTAAATTGCCTGAAAGATTTTGCCATGGTGTCCTCCCTTCCTTGACTCAATCATAAACCAAAGGTTATTTAGAGGTAAATTATTCAAACCATTAGTGTTTTAATTAATCTTTTAAGAGCACTTTGCAGTTATATGGAAACATTTTCTTACAGCTCTTCATATTTTTCAAGACACTTTTGCTACATTGCATCTATATTTTTCATCTAAAACCCTCAAGGTAGATGAGTATTGCTATCATTACTGGAAAAGAAAAATTGACAGACGATTAAGAGCTATAGTGTCAGACTGCCTGAGTTTGTATCCTGACTTGTTCACATATTAGTTATGTTAATTAAAATGAGTTATTTAACCTCTGTGTAACTCAAATTTGTCATTATACATAAAAAAGTAATAATAGTAACTACATCATGAGTTACACTGATCTGAAGACTAAATGGAATAATACACATAACACATTTAGAACAAGTAATATGCTCAATGCATATTACCTTTCATTAAACCTATTTTAGAGGTGAACAACCTGAGGCACAGAGTTCAGTGTCTAGAGTCAGTGTCAAACTAAGAATTCATAACCATGGATTTTATTTAGTTCAACATTGTTTTAACATTTACAGATAAAGAACGCAAGGCAGAGAATATGTAAGTGGTCAAGTAACTGCCCAAAGACACTCAGTTAGTTCATTTCTGAGTCAGAAATTAAATTCAGACAATGTGACTTCCAAGCTGAATTTTTAGCTACTCACTTTCACCTGCATTATTTACTGACTAAGTAAATGGACAGTGCTTCACCAATAGAGTTCATCATATTCAAAAGTTGAACATTATATACTGCCCACAAATATCCCATCATCTAAGAACCCCAAATGCAATGTGTTTCTATAACCATACATTCCCACGATTGGTACCCAGCCATTGGACGGCTGCTCACGGCAGTTCATGGAAGCTCTTGCTGGCTGCTGACCACTTATGCCAGTTGCCGGCCACTCACGGTAGCTCATGGCAGCCCACTGCAGCAGGGGCTGCAGCCTGTGCAGTCAACAGCGACTGACGGCAGCACAGCTCCAGGTCAAGCTATTGTTCACCATCTTAGCTTAGAGGGTGCAGCGTCACTGGCCCTCATGTGGGGTCTGAACCAGGGCCCTGCTGCTCAGAGCTGGGCTCCCAAGCCAACCCTTAACCAAGGCGCCACTCGGCCGGCCCACAATCCCACTTTTTTATACCAGGGACAACTTAAAGAACCCACATTCTCTATTTGCTTCTAGGGCATTTAGATAAATTACCACAATATACACAAGAATATATTCATTAAATAGAATTATTCACTGACAAGTAGAATGCCTTCCCGTGTTTAGAGTGTGAAAATACTGTTCTTTGATTTTAATGTTGTTTTTTTGGGGGGGTGGGTGTGTGTATGTATATTACTGAATTTACTTAAACATATACCATTTTTTCATTTGGCTTTTAGGTTTTAAATATATATATATATGTATATGTATATATATATATATACATATATATATATATACATATACATATATATATATATAAAATTTAATGCCTGTCTAAATACACTAGATTAGATGATAGTCAAGATCCTGGTACTAAGATTTTATGGTTTTTTGTTTTTGTTTCTTTTTTAATTTACATGGTTTTAAACATAGGAAATATATTCTCATGGCTCAGAAATTTTAAAGGTACCAAAGAGCATTAACTTAAAGAATCTTTCCCTATTCTTTTCTTCTAGACACACAAATCACCTTCCAATAGGCAATGGTGTTTTGGGTTCTTATTCATCTTTCCAGATATATTTACACAGATATAGTAAATATATTTATACATTTATATACATATATATCCCCCTCCTCACTTTATACTTACATGCCTTATATGGTAACACCATATTTTTATCCAACTTAGAATCATTACTAAATTATAAAAGTGTTTATTTTCGTTTTTTCCATTGATGCTGGGAGGAATGTTGGTATTTATGTTTCATACTTATATAAGGTTACAAATTGCAAATTCTGGGGATGTTGGCAGGTTGCTCAGCACCAAAGTTAAACAATGGAACCCTTAACTTAAAAGAATAAAACCATATCAATCAAAACATTATTGATGAGACTAAAGGTTTTTTAACAGTTTTCTAAACAATAAATGTGCACCCATGTTATTCCTGGAAGATATGTTCTAACAATCATAAAAGATCAAATTGTAATGTATGCACATTTTTCAGTGGTAGAAAAATCTCAATGTCGATAATAATTTTATTTCTATAAAATCATTACCTTTTATAGTTAATTGACAAAACATTTTTAACACAATTTTTACTTTAACAGCCCAGGAAAACAAAACAAAACAAAACATCTCCAATGGCAATGTCTCTACCAAGAACTTTTTGTAAAATCACTTATATCACTTTTTGAGAAATAACTATGGGGACTAATTTTTTATAAGCACCATGCAATGTAATGTGCCCAATAATTCTATGAGGTTACTGGTATCAATCCAAATGTAGAAGCCAGAAAACTGAGGTTCTGTAGGATTAACTAGCTCAAGGTGACACAACTAATAAGTTTTTTTGTTTGTTTGTTTTGTTTTGTTTTTTTGGTTTTTTTTAGCTGAGCCATCCTGCCACCTTTTGGCAGCTCAGCGGCTTCTCAGCTCGGGTTGGGACTCGAACCACTGTTGCTCAGAGCTCAGACTCTTGAGCGAGCTCTTAACCAACTGAGCCACTCGGCCGGCCCTAATAAGTTTTAGTAAGAAGGTAAAGAGATAAAAATTTCCCAAAAGTACTAGTCACAAACTAAATAGACAAAAACATTCTTAAATGAATGAGTTAAATATGAAATAAATGTACAATCCTGCTATAAGCACCTAAAGCAAACGTCTTACCTCAAAAGCAAAAGACAAGGAAGGGGCGAGAGGCTTCAGATGACCAAATCTACACAGCATTAGAAACACCAAGCAACGGGAAGTTTCCAGAACAGCGGCCTGAGGTCTAAAATAAATGTCATTCGCATTTATCAGCTTTAAATATGCTCTTTATGTGTTTACGAGTTATGATTACTATAGTGATACACATTTATTTTAATTTCCAAGAAATGCATAGTATTTTAATAGATGTGAGGAGCGTTTGAGTCTGAAGCTGTTTGAAAACAAGCATTAAAATAAGAAAATGCATTTTTTTAAAAAAATCTGCTCTTTATCAGTTTATTGCTCAGTTTGAGCATTGATGAGTTAGGGTGAAGCATAGTCTCAGCTAATAAGTAAATTATTAACAACTGCATTTCTAGGGTTTAAAGTAAATGGGACTTCCCTCACTCACTAAATACCTTTATACTTCATTCATTTAAAAATGACTTCTTGGGCCGGCCAAGTGGCGCGATGGTTAAGAACTGGCTTGGGACGCCAGAGGGCCCTGTTTCAGATCCCACATATGAGGGCCAGTGACACTGCCCTCTACAGCTAAGATGCTGAACAACAGCTCAACCTGGAGCTGTGAGTCGCTGCCAATGGCATAGGCTGCAGCCCCTGTGGCAGTGGGTTGCCATGGGCTACCGTGTGTAGCCAGCAGCCAGCGTGAGCGGCCAGCAGCCGCAGTGAGTGGCCATCCAGAAGCCAGCGACTGATCTGCCTCACCCGGGAAGAGCGCAATGATGGTGCCAACTTGGGCCAGTGAAGCAACGTCCTCCACAACTAGACTGAAGAACAAACGACAGCAACTTGTCTGTTCCCCTTCCCCCAAATCCCCAGCACTGTTCCCATCCCCCAATTCTCCAATAAAAATCTTTAAAAAAAAAATGACTTCTTGGGAGGACTGATATAATTAACTACTCTAAAATAATGAACAAATTCTGAAATATTAGGAACATGAAAAATCTGTAGCTATGCCTAATATGATAGGTAGCATAAATATAGACCATTGTTAACTATTTTGTAATTAATATTTTCTGTATATATGGTATCCTTGAAATTCATGCTCTAAAATATGTAAAATAAGTGTGTTTATGTATTTGAAACAGGTTTGATTGTCACATACAGATTAGCATTTATTGATTGCTGTATAATAATGGTAATAAACAGCTAATTTATCAGCATAAATAGCTTTATAAGATATTCATTTAACCGCTGTTGGATAACTAAATACCAGAGGTGTCAAAATATGTACACATTTTAAGAGATGTTATCTATGTATTACTTTTTGAAGTTGAATAAAATTATGGTAGCAATGTGTAGTATGAGGTTTGCTTCAAAGATGGCATTAATCAAATGAATGCTAGTGTCATTCATTGTATTACAATTTTAATACAGTTTTTTCCTTGCTTAATATGTGTATACATTTTGTTGGCACCCTTTGTATTTCTGTAAAAGACAAATAGTACTGTTATGACAGGTGAATTCTCTTACTAAAATATTCTTCAATTAATGTAATTATGATACAGCTATATATTATTTTAGAATACTGAGGTATGGAGAAAAACTGAAGAACATCTAAAGTAGTATATCTGTTGAACTTAAAAAGTTCTTGAACAGTCTATTAATTATGACCTATTGGGTCTGTAAAATTGAACATAACATTTTCGTACAAAAAAAGAACACATTTTTAATGTAATTTAAACTCAGTAGAATCAGGGTGAGAGTTTATGATTTATTTGTATTCAAGTAATGTGATTAATTTTTTTGTGAAAAAATAATAAGAAAAATTTCCCCTTGTAAAATAATATTATTACTCATTACTATAAACTAATTTAAAATATCTGGCTAATTTTCAATAAAAAATTAGATTTCTATTTTAAAACACATAGTTTTTATTAATTCTGTAATATGATATACTTTTTAAACTTTCATATTGTGAAATGAAACATACCTATAGAGAACTATGCAAAACAAAAATGTGCAGCTTGATGATTTTCAAAAAACAAGTAACCATGTAAAAACCACCCAATATCAGCAACCCTAATGATACCTCTTACTTGTTCAATATTTTCAACCACCCTAGAGCTCAGCAAGGATCAATCTCTTGACTTTTATGATAATCATACCCTTTCTTGCTCCTTTTTGTTTACATTTTACCACTTTAGCATAAATTCCTAACAACTAGTCTATAGTACTATTTCTTTTCTACTTTCTTTATAAATTGGATTATATTGTATGTATTTTTTTTTTTTGTATCTAGCATCTTTCATGCAATGTTGTTTGTGAGATATCTATGGTGCTGCATGTAGCAGGGGTTCATTCATTCCCTCCTGAGTAGTATTCCATTGTATGGATACACAATATGCATGCATCCACTCACCACATGAAGAACATTTGAATTGTTGGCCATATATGTTTATTATAAACAACACTGTCTTTATATTCTTTTATATGCCTTTAGGTGTATTGGTTAGTGCATAACCAGGATTGAATTACCTGGTTATAAAATGGAGATATTATATAATATATAATATATATATATATATATATATATATATATATATATATATATATATATATACACACACACACACACACAGTAAAACCTTGGATTGCGAATAGCTTGGTTTGTGAGTGTTCCGCAAGACGAGCAAACATTTCTAATACATTGTAACATGGTAAACAAGTGATGTCTTGCAATATGAGTAGTTTGTTTCTGGAATGAATTATGCTCGCAAACCAAGCTCTCTGTGTGTGTGTGTGTGTGTGTGTGTGTGTGTGTGTGTGCTAAATACATGTTAATTTTATGTTAGAAAAATTCTCAAACAGTTTTTCAAATTAAGTATCACAATATAAACCCTCTCTTCAGTATGTGAGCATTCCAAAAGTTGATACTGTCAATCCTTTTGATATTAGTCATTTGGGATTTAAGGTCTTTGCTGCTTACAAAATTGTACATAGCATCTCCTACTTGAAGGTTTTATATTTTACTGTCTTAATGAGAGTTTATTTTTTATAAACTGACTTTCTTAATATTATTATAGTCTAATTCATCAATTTTATTTTTATAATTAGGAATTTTTTACCACTTAACATTTTTACATTCTCCAAGGTTATAGAGATATATTAGTATGCTATGTGCTGGAATCTGTATTCACTTACCTCTCACTTTTAAATCTATAATCCCCTGACCCCAGAACTAACTTTTTATGGTGTGAAATATTTGTCATTTATTTTTCTTATTCCTATGAGGAAATCCAATTTCCCAAAGACCATTTATTGAAAAGATCCTTTTCCCACAGCTCTGTAGTGACACCTTTGTCACAAATCAAGTCTAAATATAAGCATAGCTTTCTTTCTAGGTTTTCTGTTCTAATCTTTATGCCAATAAAACATGTCTAATTACTGTAACTTTATAATAAATCTTGATATCCAGTAGTGTAACTCCTGCCTTTTTTTAATCTCAGGAATGTGTTGGCTATTATTGGACCATATATATATATATATATATATATATATATATATATATATATATATATATATATATATATATATTTTAGAAAGAGCTTGTCAAATTCTAGGACGAAACCCTTTATAATTTTAATTCAGATTGCATTGAACATGTAAATCAATTTGGTAAGAATTGTACTCTTTACAATATTGAGTATTCCGATCTATGAATATAGTTATCTTTCCATTTATTTAGTTATTTATTTTTCACAATATTTCTCAATAGTTACATAGTTTTTTCTTTTTTGATATTTTGTACTCATTTTTTAGAATTGTTTTTTCTTGGTGTTTGATATGTTTGATGCTATTGCTTACATAGCCATGTGTTGCATAATGATATTTTGGTCAATGATGGACAGCATATAGGACGATAGTCTTGTAAGACTATAAAGGAGCTGAAAATTCTTATCTAGTGAGTCTTAGCCCTTGTAAGGTTGAAGTGCAATGTGTTACTGTTTTGCCCTGGTCTCAATCTATGAATAGTAAAGGAGGTGTGGGGTCGGGGAGGGAAGGAGGGGAGGGAGGGAAGGGAGAGGGAGAGGGAAAGAGGGAGAGAGAGAAAGAGAGAGAGAGAATAGGCTTGGGGTTCTGCTTTTATTGGAGTAGAGGGTGGGGGCCTTAAAGTTTAGTGGACTCAGTATTTATTGGTGAATTTAAAACAGAACAGCAGCAATTTAAAGCATGGGAAGAGAAAAAACAAGTAGCCCAGGTCAGTTATCAGAATCAACCCACATCTCTAAACCAAAGGAGCCTGTGGGCAAGGCAGCCTGGCTCATTATCTAGTATGGTGTGGCTGACAGTGTGTTTATTCCATATTGTCTCCCTTGAAGTGTATGCCTTTTTGAAGTGGAGCAATCGAAGCTTAAGTCGAGCACTTGTGTAACAAAAAGAAAAGCCAATTGTCAAGGCTTACAGTAAAATTAGTCATGTGTTTGTGGAGATGCTGGTGTAAACAAACCTATTGTGGTGCCAGTCCTATAAAAGTATAGCACAAACAATTACAGTAGGTTTCTGTAAGTGCACTCTATGATGTTCACACAAAGAGGAAACTGCCTAATGAGGCATTTCTCAGAATGTATCCCTTTAGTTAAGCGGCCCATGACTGTATTGTTGTGTTTGCTGGTAGACCAAAATGTAGTTCATGATCACGTCTCTAAAATTTTTTCTAAATTCATCTACTAATTTGAATAATTCTCCTGTAGAGCCCTTGGGTTTCCTAATTAATCCATTAGTTATATTTATTAAATTAATTAATATAACTTAAATTTCTAATGAATTTATTAATTTCTTTCAAATCCTTACGCCTTTTATTTCTTTCTCTTTCCTTTCTCTACTATTTTTAGCACAATAAGCATGTCTAACTTGTTCTCAATTTCAAAGGAAAAATTTCAATATTTCACTATCAAATATTAAGCTTGCTGTAGAAGGTTGTATAAATAGTTTTTACTTCGCCGTCATTTTTGCTGGATATAGTATTATAGGTTGGCAGGAACTTTCTTTCAGCACTTTAAAAACTTCATTGTATTCTCTTCTGGCTTTCACTGCACTGGCTCTAAATGACTTACCTATCTCTCAGTATGAGTTCCTGAATAAGGCCAGAGGCAGTTTAGACTTTTAAAAAATTATATACAATAAGAATAATTAAATATTATTGTGGTAAAATTGACAGCTTGCTTATTTGGCCTATTATCTGTATCCACGGAAACAAAAAAATATTTATTAAAAAAATGAAACTCTACTATTGCCATTGGCTGTGCTAATGCTATTAAGTGTATGCAAGCAAGAGAATGTGATGTTTATGTGATCCTGCTTCTTTGGATCTTTGTAATTATTTCAGGTGGACTTGAGACTCATTTTTCCATTTTCTCTTTTTATAGCTCAGTATGTACTTTACTTCGAGTGTAGCAAAGTGGGGCTAAAGAGCCAAACAAAATTAATGATAAAATAAACGCCATTTTTTAAGTACTGAGGGAAAAAATTCTACACATTGTTTTCATATGACTATGTGAAATGTGCCAGCTGCATCATTCTTTACCAAACGTTTATAGGGAAGGCATATTATAAACAGTTCCATTTCCCAGAAAGTTCATATGGACCTGGGTCTTGATGAAACTCCATAATCTGTGGCTATTCCAGAATATCCATTAAGCTATCCTTGGGAAAGGGACATATATTCAATATAACTTAAATGTATGTTCATTGGACTTTTGTATTTAAAATTTCCTAAAAGTAATGGTTACCAGTTACCTACTTGAAACACAATAACATGACAACAAAGATAAGACTTCAAGAATGACAGAGCTTTTTTACAGTTTTTCACAAGGTTACAATATATGTAAATCCTATAATATGTGAATTCTGGAGTCACATCTCTTGGGTTTGTGTTCTGGTCTATCACTTACTGTCTGTCTTAATCTGAAAATTGGGCTTTACAGTAATTATTATCTCAGAGTGTTGTAAGAATTAATAACATATTCCATGTCACATATTAATTACACAAATGTTGATACTGGTATTAATATTAATGACTGATAAATACTAAGCAATAATGAATAGGTATTTTTCTATATGCCTCCTGTAAAAAAAAAAAAAACAATTTAAAATGGTTTAAGTGAATGTATTTTCTGGCCAGGGTAATATTTAAAACATGATTCCTTAAATAACATGCCATGTGAGGGTAAAGGATATAAACTTTAAATATACACACATCCTGGCATATATTATGAACTAGTCATTGGCAAAGGAATGCTACTCAAATATGGTTTATATTTTATTAAATACTCGGAGTTGTGGTCTATGTGTTCCCAAATTAATCACTGTAGTTATAGGTTTCCTTTAATAAACTCAAACAACCTAAACTTAATTGAAAAGGCTTAGCTTTAAAATGCACCGTTGATACAAATTCAGATAAACTGCTACTTAAAATAAAGGTGTGAAATTATAGTTTCAATTTATTTTTTCAGTAACAAATATTTGGTGCATATCAAAGTTTCACACATATTAAAAAAAAAAACGACATTACAAAATGACATAAAATGAAAGAATGCTGCATCTTGCCTTTGATCCAGAAGAAATCCAATGGAGGTCAAGGTCAGGATAATGGCGCAAACCCTCAGAAAGAGAGTGGCCTGTGACAGTGCCTGCCAGACAAACACAGAGACCAACAGATCCTTCAGGTGAGTTATCAGAAGGCACATTAGCATTTAAAGCTGACAAGAAAAACAGCCCCTAATTTTATTTTATACTATACCATTTGTCACTGACATGTTCCAGAGAGGTTGCTATTTTCAAAAAGAGGACATGTTGGTTTTCCTAATGTCATTTAGTTATCTTGTTGGGCACTGGGAGAATGAGTTCGACAATTCCACAGTGATATTTTCCTTAATGTGTTCTTTCTAAAAATTCTCCTTTAAAGTTTTGACTTTCATAATTATTTGCAGTACCTATGCCCTCACGTATGGAGAAATCGCTTACATTTTTATGAATAAATGCCACATTCCAATAGCTATTTCTAATATCACCAATTCTTTGTGGTTTCAAACCCAAAGCTGTCTTTAATACAGAAAATATTTAAGAAGAATGTGTTTGAGTGCAAACACGTATATGAAGGAGATTGCACATGCACTCACACTCATATTTGATAAAATCTATATGTTTACATGTAATGTCAAAGATTACCTTTGAACTATTATAACAAAACAACATGTTTTGTCTTAATTATAAATTAATTATGCATTTTGTTTACATGTAAAAATTTACTAATAATGTTTATGGAGAGGCTGCTATTTCATAGCTTCTATGCTATGTACTTTAGTTCTTTTTATAGTCCCAACAACATTTTTTCATTATATGCTTCATATGTGAAAAAACAAACAAACAAATTGGGATTCAAAGGATTAAGTAACTTTTCCATCATCACACAGAAATAAGTGATGCCATGAAATTCAAAATAGACCTTCCTGACCCCAAAGCATCACAATGGTAGAATAATATGAGCAACTTAAAGGGGGCAAAAGCAGAGATCAAAATTGAAGTTCACAGAGCTAATGTTTAGGGCCAGATGAATACTGCTTTAGATTGAAAGTGGATCAGTAAAAACAAGGAGTTAGATACACAGCCTCTAGATAATTTCTCTACTCACTGATGGTGTTTACATTTCACCTTTATGAGAATACCAGAATGTATTGTAATACAACAGGTTGGCTAAAATAGTGATTAAAACATTATGCAAACACTTTTCTTTCTCTCTTCCTTTTTCTGAAATAACTAGAGCTCATGTCAACTCATTACTAACTTATATGCATACCTACAATTAAATTGCATCTGTTCAAAGTTATAAACAATAAGCAATTACGGCTCAGATCCAACACCCTAGCGCCACATCATCTTCGAAACCAGCCCAATTTCTCATGGGAATTTCTAACTTGTCTCTATTCACTACTCATATGCCTGGGAAGGCACACAGAATTGCCAAGAGATTTTAAGCCTTCCAAAGCAATCATTTAGTAGAAGAATATTGCTGAGGGGTCATAAATCTGAATAAAAAATGTCAAAGTGTTTAGGAGCATGGGGACAGACAGTGTTAGGTATCAGATATAGGATTGATAGCTCAGTGGATGCCAGAATGTTTCTAGTGGAGAGTAGCAGAGTGCTATTTGAAAATGTGGAATTCAGCAGTGACTGCTTTGGGACATGAAACAAAAAATACTAGAAAAATATTTCCTTGGTGGTAGAAGTAAGTAGGTGTGCTTGAGTAGGCTGATGTTTGCTTATGGGAAATATTTTGTCTTTAAAAAAGAAAATGCTTCTTTCACCATTATTGCTTCATTTTTAGTTTCTAGGGGAAAATTTCAGACGGAAGGGAGAAATGAGTTGTGCCCCAAAACTATAGCATGATTTTAAATGCTCTATAAGAATATGGGGTTTTGAATGATACAAACCTATCAGCCATATAAACATGAGCAAATTATTCTGCATATTTCTAAGGCTCCACTATGTTTTTGGTACATTTGAAATAAAACATAAGTTTGGCAAGAACTATAATGAGGTACTTAGAAGAGTGCTTGACACAAAGTAAGAAGTCAATTAATGAGCATGATGATTATTCTTGTTGTTATGTCCAGGCTATACAAATTTTCCAAATGGTGCTTAGGCTCATCGTAACTAATTATAATAAGATTAAAAAAACACACACACACAAATGAAAGGTTCACTAGCTCTTACAAATATCACTGGAAATTCAGAGATAGGACAAAATATATTTTTTGTTTTGGTTAGGGAATTTATGATCCTTGGACAAAAAAAATAACAACAACAACAATTAACAAACAAAAACAAAAACCAAACCCTCTTTCCACAAATTGCTTCCTGGCTACTGAAGTCAGAGTGAAATATCAAATCAATGCAGCTATTCAGCTGTCTAGTCTAGTCAATGCTTCTACTCGGTTAATAGACATCTGAAACTTAGTTTGTCTACAACCCTGTATTTAATTTCCTCCTCCACACCACACATTCCCAGTTTTCTTTATCTTAGGACTGGCACCTTGAGTTTTTCAATAGCTGGAGCCAAAAACCTGTGACTTATCCCTGACTATCTCTCATTGCCTACTTCTAATACATCAGAGATAAATGTCAGCATTATTTTTGAAATATTAATATATCCAGAATAAAGGTATTTGTTACAAACAGCACAAATAATATCCTGTTCCACCCCAACACAATCTCAACCACAATTAAAAGACCCTTCTAACTGTTATCCCCACTTCTAAAATTGCATATACACCTATCATGGCCTTCCATCTCCACCATACAGTCAGAGTTATCCTTTTAAAAAATGTTATATCACTTTTATGTTGTAAATACTCCAGGAGCTTCAAACCTCAGGATTAAGCGTGAAGTCCTTACTCTGACCTATACACAACATCCCCTCTGTGATCATATTATCCCCTTGGAATCTAGAATCTGATCCACGAGTCTTTCACTCTTAAACCTTATTGGAAATTTTGCTCTTTCTTGAACATAACAAGCATCTTTCTTATGCATCTGTTTCACCTCCTGCTGTTTCTGTTGGAATCAGTTCCCCAGAGACCCCTATGACTCACTCCTCCATTTTATTTAGGTAACTACTTAAATGCACCCCCTTGTCTGTCATATATAAAATAGCACTTTTCCATAACTCTCTATAACCTTATTATCTTGTACTGCTCTCCATACAATTTATCACTTCCATACACTTGTCTGTGCATTTCTACCTGTTGTCTGACTTCTCCAGCTAGAATGCAAGCTCCCTGAGGGATTTTTATCTCTTTATTCACTATTACATCCCAAGTGCCTAGATATATTTTTCTGAATGACTAACCAAATGAATGAATATTTTACATTTCTGTTTTCATATTCATACCCTTAGCATCAATAATTTAAATGATTAATAGTCTTAATCATTCTTTAATATTATAACATTAAATAGTAAATTTAATATCAATATTTTAATTCCTTACAATTATAAAATATTCCATAATTTAATATTTAATAATTTAATATTAACAGCTTAATATTAATATAACATGCTTCAAAATGTTAATTATGTCAAATACTAAATCCTTTAATATTTATATGCTTAATTACTTAAAGAACAGAATTGTCTTAAATGCATTTGAGTTTAAAGGAAGCTAAGATTCCTATAAGAAGGAATTCAATATATAATACATATGCTTCATTTCGAGTTCATTTTTCTATGGAACACCTAAGTTTTTCCCTATAGCATCCTTTGATAGGCTAATTAAGGCATATAACACATGGATCAACTCCAATTTCTACACATTCATTCCATGAATATTTATTGAGCATTTGCTAGGCACTATGAGAAAAGACAAAATTCCTGTCATAGAAATCACACTTCTTTAATCTCTGCTGATATGACCACAGGCCAGCTCCACTAGAGCAAAAAGGATTAAAAAAAATACAAGAGAGTTTTATAGGCCCTGACCATTATAAACACTTAGCCTCCCATGTTATAAACAATATGTGAAATGATATAAAGCTTGTTAGTTTTTTATAACAGGTAACTTTTTACTTTTCATTGAGTTTACTCTTATTTCATACCATCCATTGCTGGTATATATTTCAAGAAAATATTGCTGGCCTAACGTGCTAAGTGGAATTATTCTAAATTAACTTTTGAATGCATCATACATATGATTGAAAACACACACACACACACACACACACACACACACACGTGAGGAAGGCCACAACCATAAAAACTTTGCAAAGGAATTTTTTCCCTCCTTTAAAATTATCTTTCAAATCCCAAGCAGTTTGGTAGTCCCGATGTCCATAGGTTTCTCAGTGCAGGAATCCCTGTCCAGGTATGTGTGCCTGAAGAACTCTACCTCTCAACTTTCTTTAAGAAGATGGGGGGGAAACAAAAACTCAGGAAATGACACTAACTACATAGGAACTCTAGAATTACATGTTTGATGCAATACTGCTTAAACCATCAGTGAACCTGTGGGAGTCCTGCCTCTGCTTACAGATAAAAAGGAGAAAGCGTTTTATTTCCTGAATGGGGATAGCACCCTCTTACCCTTCCATGGAAAAACTCTGATAGTCAAAACAATTACCTTTCATATTTTCCCATCTGATGAATTCCACAAAGGGAAATATCAGCTCCATGTACTATGTCCTAAAATAATAGTATGCTTCTATATAAAAATTATTTTTATTAAACTTTGTGCATTGTCAAAGATGATTTGATAATTTTTTCAATGAGTTTATTCTAATGTCGTAGGGGAAAATGTCTTCATTTTGTTAAAACAAGGTGATGCATTTTTAAAAATTATTCTCTTTCCAGTTACAGTTAACATTCAATATTGTTTTATATTAGTTTCAGATGTACAGCATAGAATTTTTTTATAATTTATGCAGTGATCCTCCCTATTAGTCTAGTACACACATGGCACTATACATAGTTGTTGCAACATTATTGTCTCTATTCTCTATTCTATGCTTTCCATCCCCATGACTATTTTGTAACTACCAATTTGTATTTCTTAATCCCTTCACCTATTTCACCCAGCTCCACAACGCCCCTCCCCTCTAGAAACCTCAGTTTGTTCTCTATATCTATGAGTCTGTTCAA